TGCTCATATGCTAGTGGAAGCTTTAATAAGACAGGAATGAATTGGACTTCTATAGACTACGAAATACAAGCTTAAATAATTAAATAAACAAATAAGGGTAATTTAGTAATTTGTTTAATAACTTCCAAAAATAATCCCTATAATCATGGTATTGACTTTTAACCTAATCTATACGGTATAAATCTCGTTCCCTCACCTCTGACCGATCCCATCATGAGGAATCTCGCACGCGGCTAATCCGTTTCTTTTTGATCGATGGCGAAGAGGGTATCTCAGGGGACTGACGAGGCCGAAGAGGGAGATGGGAAGGAGCAGCGAGGCTGCGTTCTTGCTTCTCTGTCAATAGGGTGCGAAGGAGGAAAAGGGATGCATAACAAACTCATACAGCGACAAAAACCTATGCCTCCGCTTCTCTCGGTCGTTGCCTCTCAAGCAAGCCCTCACCGCCGTTAGCCAATATTCTCCCCTGTGAACCACCTGCCGGAGACCGTCGCACTCAACAGCTAAGGTTCGTTTTTGTCCGATTTTTCCTGTTGTCGAGTCCTCCCTGATGTCGATTTTTTTACTAGCTTTCACTCTTTCTTCTTTTCCCTGGTTTCTGTTATATTTCTTTGTTGTTCTATCAATTGATGCATAACAAATTCATAAAACAACTCTAAAATAGAACGAAATGCGAATCTTTTAGGGTTTATGCAACAACTTCTTTCAGCTTCCAATAGGTTCTGTATGCATTGCAGATCTTTAATTCAAAGGAAAATGGAACGGAGGAAGTGACCTAAGTCATAGTTCGCTTCCTCTTCTTGATATTGTTGTTCTTTCTCTCTCATCTGTGTTCTCACTTCAAAAATCATGAGATGTGTATTACTGCTGATAATAAAACAAAAGGGGGCTTTCAGTTTACACACAAACAATAAAAAGACCACAAATTATTTGTAAATAAAAGATAGAACTAAAATACGGAGGAGTTATATTCTATAACAATTTTTGTTCATTACGTGAGTTTGAATTTCAAACCCCAAATTTTCTGTTATGTAACACTTTGCTTGTATATGTGTTTGTGTTTCAGTTTTCAATTGAACCTAGGTCTTATTCTTAAGATGCTTATATGATAACTGTAACAATTTGAAGGTGTGTTGTTTGTTCAACTCTATAACAATTTGAATGTGCTATCTTAGGTTATGGAACAATGTTAAACCAATGAAGTTTAATCTTCAAATGAGTTTTTTTGATTTGATTTCAATATATAGAATGGATGTTTGGGTTTATTGTTTGACAGAAATCAAAGAAATTTTGGATTTCTTTAGGTTTATTTTCTAATTCTTTCAAGGTGTAATATTTTTGGTGAATTTGGAATTTGTTCTGATTGTCTAATTTTTACAGGAAATTGAAAGTTGTTTTGATGCACACCAAGTGCTCGCTAAAATACTTCAACTGAATGATATTTCTTCGTTTATAGTATTCTATAAGAAAAGAATGTTTTTTATGATAATCATGAACATATTCTGTTAGAATGCGACGAATTAATATAATTATTGGTAAATGAATTCAAATTCTATCAGAATGGAATCACGAATTCCAATTATGTTGGAATGGATTATGGATATTTTCTCACTAATTTATTCATTGG